TCCTGCCTGGAAGCAGAGAATTTCCTCTGTTCTCAGACCCCCAAACTGGCCTGTCCATCATCTCAATCCTTAGAACCCACTGGGCGGGGCACCTGAGGGGCTCTGTAGGTTGAGTCATGATCTCACGGTTTGTGGGATCGAGCCCTGCGTCGGGCTCTGCACTGACAGCACGGAGCCTGCTTGGGATTCTGTCTCTCAAAATAAATAAATAAACTTAAAAAAAAGAAGAAGAAGAACCCACGGGTAGGTGAGCCCCTCAGGCATCTTGTAGGTATTTCCCTCATTCCCACCAAGCCTCTTCTCCCTCCTCAGTTAGGGAGGGATCTTTAGTTGGGAGGGGGGACAGTTGATGTTGTGGGAGAAAAGTGTGCTCAGCCACTTCTGGGACCACAGAGATTCTGAGATCTGTGCCTACAGCAGGTTTTGACATTTTAGCGATACAGGGACACCTTTCCCAGGAGTAGTTACCTTAATGAGGTAATAACTGCTATTGAGGGGAAGTTTTCTTTTTATTTTTTTTAGTCTTTTTTTTTTTTAATGTTTTTTTTTTTTTTTTTTTTTTTTTTTGTTTTTTTTTTTTTTTATTTTTTTTTTTTTTTTTTTTTTGAGAGAGAGACAGAGAGACAGAGGGTAAATAGAGGGAGACACAGAATCTGAAGCAGGTTCCAGGCTCCGAGCTGTCAGCACAGAGCCCGATGCAGGCCTTGAACTCAAGAACTGTGAGGTCATGACCTGAGCCAATGGAGCCCCCCCGGGCACCCCGATGGGGGGAGTTTTCAGTGCATCTCAGCAGGAAGTATCCCAGCAGCAAACAGGCACCAATGCCCCTCACAGCCCTCCTGTTCACAGCGAGGCATCAACAGCAGTCCCTGTTCCTGAAGGGCTCGAGCAGAGACAGGAGTGGCCTGGGGTGGGGACATGTGCGATTTACATCCGTCCAGCAGGCAGCATCTCAGCAGATCTTAAAACTAGTTTTGCTTATTTCCAAATGAAATTGTTGGGTCCCTGAGCCTTCATATCCTCTTTTCTTCCCATTCAGATGTCCCAGTTTGGGGTCTCTTTTTCTCTTTACTCTTAGCTTTCTCTCTCCCTCCCGGCCTCTGCACTGACGGGACCCCAAACTTGCAGGCCTCGAAAGTAGGGCTCCTGTCATCAGGGGCTCTCTTCAGGTCAGATTCTGGGGAAGAGGTTCACACAAAGGATTGAAACCAACTACTGACAATGCTTTCCTGTGGTTTTGATCTTCTTTTCCCAGATTGGAATCAATGACTTCCCCTCCCCTCACCTCTGGGCCTCCAGTATCGCTGCGCGCCCGTCTTGGGTCTTGCTCTCTGGAGCCCAAATGGATGGAACGCTTCCCACGGCTCAGCCCCGGCCTCCGGCCCCCGAGCCAGGCCCTCACCTCTCTCATCCCCCAGGACTCAGACGTCTCCTTTTCCTTCCCTATTTTCTCCGGATCTTGTTTCTTTGCTCTCTGTTCACCAGATCATCTCAGAGGCCCATTAAATAGCGTTGCTAAACCGGAAGGGACTGGGGAATGAGGAGCAGTCGAGTCCACCAGCAGCAAGTTCCATAACGTGCTGTAGGAATTGTAGGGAAATTCAGCTGCTCCTGGGAGAGAAATACGTAGCCGAGTCTGGACCTTTGGAGAACTTGAGACCTTTCATCCTGTAACCTTGCGAGCAGGATCTGGATCCCGTAAAACGGAGGTCAAGCGCTGGTGAACTTCTCCATAGTCAGCAGGAGAAAAGAAGCAACTTGCTGTGAGTCATATATTTTAACGCTTAAACAGAACGCTTCATGGTATTAAGAGGTTACGCTAAGCATAGTCAAGCCAGAGCTAATTGCGGTTATTGCCTAAATCAGTGCTTCCCAGACTTTAATATGTACCCCATCACCTGGGGATCACGTGAACGTGCGGCTTCTGTCCTAGAAGGTCTGGGGACTGGGGGCTAGGGCTGCGGTTCTACATTGGTGAATTGGTGACACGCTTCTGAGCGGTGATGTCATCGCTGGTTCAGGCAGCACACTTCGGGTCGCAGAGCTTAGAAGGCAGCCTGGAGAGAAGGGGACGTCCTCAACTGAAACTAAAAGAGACTCTGTCCCCAAGCACTTCAACCTTATAGTGAACTCCTCATGCGAGACCTCTTCCCGAGCCCAGTCTGCTAGCTGTCCACGCTGGTCACCTTCACTGTCACACGACATGCCCGTCCCTTCCGGGGCTGCTAATGCTTCTTCAAGTACAAGAAGGGGAAAGCTACTCAGGCTCACTCAAGGAGATTGATCTGAGGTATATGTGGCGGTTCACAGAATTGAAGGGCCGACCAACCAGTCTTGGGCTAGATGGGAACAGATACATGCGATTCAAAGGCCTCGGGTCACAAGCCCCAAGACCTCCCCGGCACATTCTAGAAGATGCCTGAATTCTCTTTCTCAACTTTCAAGTCTGGAGCAGGTGTTTTTACCTTCAAAGTTCTCAGCATATCCCAGTTGGATTTGTGTGCCGAACCTTTCCTTGCCCCTTGTAAGGCTGTCCTTGATCATTTTTTTAAAGTTTTTTTTTTTTTGGTTTGTTTTTTTACTGGGGTGCCGAGTGGCTCAGTCGGTGAAGCATCCATCTTTGGCTCAGGTCCTGATCTTGCGGTTCGTGAGTTCATGCCCCACATCAGGCTCTCTGCTGTCAACACGGAGCCCGTTTCAGATCCTCTGTGTCCCTCTCTCTCTGCCCCTCCCCTGCTCGCGTGCTCTCTCTATACCAAAAATAAACATCTGTTAAAACATTAACTTTTTATTTTGAAAGAGAGAGAGAGAGAGAGAGCGAGTGAGGGCCAGAGAAGGAGAGGGAGAGTCCCAAGCGGGCTGTCTGCACTGTCAGTGTGGAGCCTGATGGAGGGCTCCAACTCACAGGCCATGGGATCAAGACCTGAGCCAAAGTTAGGACACTCTACTGACTGAGCCACTCAGGTGCCCTGTGCTTGATAAGTTTTAAGTTGCATATGCATATATATAATTGTGTGTGTGTGTGTGTGTGTGTGTGTGTGTGTATCTGTCCAGGGGCAAAGGAGATGGTAATGTTGCAATATGATTTCTCCCCACATCTTGTATCAAATTTGGGACTTTTATTTTTATTTATTTATAAAATTTTTTTTGGTCATTTATTTATTTTTGAGGCAGAGAGAGACAGAGCATGAGCAGAGGATGGGCAGCGAGAGAGGGAGACACAAAGTCTGAAACAGGCTCCAGGCTCCGAGCTGTCAGCACAGAGCCCGACGCGGGGCTCCAACCCACGAACTTCGAGATCATGACCTGAGCTGAAGTCGGTCGCTTAACCGACTGAGCCATCTAGGCGCCCCTCAAACTTGGGACTTTTAAAATACATGGTCTTACATTGTTTGGAATACACAGGTATTGGATATATAACTAAAATGTTCTCTGTGAACAGGAGACTTTTTTAATAAAATGAGACTTTTTGTCTAATTTTAAGAACACATTGTAGGGGCACCTGGGTAGCTCAATCGATTAAGCATCCAACTTCGGCGCAGGTCATGATCTCACAGTTCGTGGGTTCGAGCCCCACGTTGTGCTCTGGCCGGACAGCTCTGAGCCTAGAGCCTGGTTCAGATTCTGTGTCTCCCTCTCTCTCTCTCGGCCCCTCCCCTGCTCATGCTTGCACACACACTCTCTCTCTCTCAAAAATAAACGTTGAAAAAAATTTTCATTGTAAATTTTCAAAAGGCCTTTTGAGACATACTTTGTAGTCATAGGGATTCCATCTCTGAAAACATCACAAGCGAGGGATGTATGATTGGGACGATAAAACAACAAATAAGAGAATAGATATTCCTCTTCTATTTACTGTGTAACTTTGGCCGATGACTTTTTTCTGAAGCTCAATTAGGTCTCCTGCAACTGAGAGATAATCAAGCTCTTTTCTTGTAAATTTGTTTTGACAATGAAATAAAATGTATATAAAGTGTGTTCCAACTGCTTTAACAAATTAGCTATTTCTATAATCCCTGTTACTATCACCTAGATTCTGTCCCTAGGTTCTACTGGTCTCCCAGAGGCAGGATAACTTGGATGTTAAAGTAGCAAAGGCTTTGGGTCATGCGTCTTGCTCTGTTCCCAACTCTGCTCAAACTCCCCCTTCAATGCCCAGGGGTGTGGCACCCCCACCACAGCCCTCCTGGGAACATGCTAGTGCCCGGCGCTCCTGCGTTCCCCTCACCCCTGCAGCTTAGTGGAGTTCTAAGGTGCGTGTTCTTTTGCTATCTATGCCAAGAATTTATTTTCTTTTCTTTCAGCCTGCCAATTCATTTTCCGTTCCCCTCCCCTCCCCCCCTCTTTGCCTTACACCACCACCCCCTTCTCTTCCCACATAATCACAACAGGAGTGTGCAGCCGCCCCTGTGGGCTGGAACTGATGTGTAGATGGCTAACGTGACATCTAGCTAGAAATTTGACATCTATGAGGATATTGTGTGGGGATAACTGAAGCAGTTGGGAAGAGATTCCTGCACTTTTTTTCCCGCATCCCCACAGCCAAGGTACTCCATTAAAAATGTCTTAATAGATGGGGCGCCTGGGTGGCTCAGTTGATTAAGCGTCCGACTTCGGCTCAGGATATGATCTCATGGTTCGTGGGTTTGAGCCCCACATCCGGCTCTGAGCTGACAGCTAGCTCAGAGCCTGGAGCCGCTTCACATTCTGTCTCTCTCTCTCTCTCTCTCTCTCTGACCCTCCCCTGCTCATGCTGTCTCTCTCTCTCTCTCTCAAATAAATAAAACATTTTTAAAAACTGTCTTAATAGAATCAAACCTGGTTCTTATTGGAGGAAAGGAACAGAATATGATGGAGAGAAACAGGAAATGAAAAAAGCCAAGAATCCGAAAGGAAATAAATCAATGAAAAGGATTTTTATCTTACGGTCCTTTATGTTGTTTTCACTAAAGACACTGACTCTACGAGTGCCAAACAGAGGGAATAAAGCACGGCAAACATTCATTTTGGGGGTGACTGTGCCTTCCTTGGCAATCCCCGTTTTATTGAGGATGTCACTACTTAATTCAGGTTCCAGGGAACTTATTTTTCACAGGAGATGGGCATTCCTGGGCCGCCTTACGCGCAGGATTCAAGTCCTGTGGATTTGGGGCACTTTTCTTGGCCACTACAATCTCGTCCACGTTCACGAGCTCCAGGGTCACATCAGCTACGGCCCGAAGTGCCTGCGCTTTGCCTATCAGGGTGTCCCATACGTCTTCCTGGGCCACGTTTATGATCCCTTCGAGGCCCACTCCTACCAGGAAGTTCCCAGCCTGGTGAGCTGCATTCATCTGTGCCATCACGTCGGAGACAGCTAGGCCCGCGTTCTCCGCCAGGGCTTCGGGAAGAGACCGAAGGGCGCTTGCAAATGCCTGGAAGGCGGGGCCGTTGGGCGCTTCCAACGTGCTTCCCTTCTCTGCGAGCATTTTCGCCAGAGCCATCTCGGTGGCCCCGGCTCCCGGAAGCAGCCTGGGGTCCTGGCACAGCTGGCAGTAGGCGTCAAAGCCGCGGCAGGCGGCCTGCTCGGCGCTCCGGAGCCCCTCGGCTGTGGCCCCCCTGAGGACCAAGGTGACGGCAGGGGTCCCTGGATGCTCGCATTCAAACACCACGGCCGAAGCTTCCCCCAGCTGCTGCTGGTACACCCGCCGGCACCTTCCCGGCTTCAGCGGAGGCCGCAGGTGCGGCGTCAGGGGCGTGTCCAGCACGTCACTCAAGTGCACCAGGTCCCTCCGCGAGCCGGCTCGGACCACCATGATGCTGCGCTGGTCCGCCTGGGCCAGGGCCGTGTCGTCCACGTCCCCCCACACCACCGCCACGTCAATGCCCGCGCCGGCCAGCTGCGCCACCTGCGTCTCCACCAGCCGCTCGCTCCCCTTCCCGAACGCGGCGAGGTCGGCGGCACTGGCGAGCCGGGCGGTGGCGGGCGCCCTGGGGCTGGCGGGGCCAAAGTCGCAGGCGAACAGGGCCACGCTGGCGCCTCGGGGCGCCGCGGCCACGCGGCCGCAGGGCTCGGCGCGCACGGCCAGCCCCGGCAGCAGGCAGGACGCGTGCAGCGCGCCCCCCGGCAGGGCGCACACGGCCACGCGCTCGCGGCGGAAGCCGCCGTCCGGCGCCCGCGCGGCCCAGCACGCGCGGGCCACCAGCGGCGCGAGGCCGTCGGCGTGGGTGCCCACCGCCGAGCGCAGCGCCCGCGCCGGGTCCTCCAGGGCCCCGAGCGAGCGGGTGGCCAGCGCGGGCAGCAGCGCCAGCGCGTGCGCGGCGGCCGCGGCGAAGGCCCGGCGCAGCTGCGAGCGCGCGAGGCCGGCGCGCAGCAGGTGCTCGGCGCGCAGCAGCAGCGCGGCCGCCAGCAGCACCACGAGGCCCGCGCCGGCGCCGCCGCCCTCCGCCTGCGCCTGCGCCGCGTCGCGCAGCAGCCGCGCGGCCGGGTGCTCCAGCTGCAGGCCGCGCAGGATGGCGGCCGCGCGGCCCGTCAGCGCCGCGCCGCCGCGGGCGCCGACCAGCAGCTTCCGGCGGCCGTGCGGCCCGTAGCAAGGCCGCAGCAGCCGGGCCAGCGCCTGCGCCGCGGGCAGGCTGCGGAGCAGCGGGCTCCCGGCGCGCCGCCTGCGCGCGGGCTCGGCCCTGCTGCACATCGCGCGGGGGCCCGCCAAGCCGGTCCCGGGACACCTGTCCGGGGCCCGGAGGGGGCCGGAGCCGAGTGCCCCTCAGCCGGGGGGCGGGAGGCAGGCGCGCCGCGCGGGGCTGCGGGGAGCTCAGCGCCCACGGCGGCTCCCCCGGGTCGGTCTGGCAGGACCTGCGGCCTCCGGGGCTCGGGAGCCGAAGCGGGTTGTACGTTGATGAGGTCACAGAGCGGCACGCGGAGCGGGGTGGGGGCAGAGGGTGAGGTCACAGAAGGATGCTTACAGCTGGGGAGCCCCCCCCCGGGGGGGGGCAGGCCGGAGGCGGACCGGGTCACCTGGCACAGGACGGCCGCCCGGACGCGCCAGGCCCCGCGGCTTCATTGGAACTTTGGAGGCGGCGGAGGGGAAATCGGGGGAAAACACGCACCCGCTTCGACCTCCAGACGGAGCCGGGGCTCGCGTGACGTTCTGTTCGCCGCAGGCTTCGAGAGCGAGACCGTGTGCGGCTTCGTCTCACTTCCTTGCCGCTGCTTGGCTTTCCCTGTCCGCCTGCCTTTGCCTCCTTACCCACCTTACCCGTTCGTGCCGTCCACCTGGGGCCCATCGGGCTGTTGGGTGTTCAGGCTGCAGGTGTGATGCTGCTCCTTCCGGTGATGATGACGCCACTGAGCTGGTCCAGGCAGGTGGAGACCAGGGAGGGAAGACGCTGACAACCTGCGAACTATAGAAGCGTCTGCAGCTGAGGGAAAGGGGCCAGGCTCCCCGCGGTGCGGAAGGGCGAGCCCCGCGGGGCTGACGTAAGCCCCCTAAGCCTTACCCTCAGCCTTTTGAATGGCACTTCCTCCCTCCTTTCTCTTGCGCCCTCACTCCCTCCTTTCCTCACGTGGGCCCTCGTGGGGTTACGCTTGCACCCTTTTCGGTTTAATAAATCTTCATTGAGGGGCACCTGGGTGGCCCAGTCGGTTAAGCGTCCGACTCTTTCTTAAAGATATTTTTTAACGTTTATTTTTTAGAGATACAGAGTGTGAACAGGTGAGCGGCAGAGAGAGGGACACACAGAATCTGAAGCAGCTCCAGGCTCTGAGCTGTCAGCACAGAGCCCGACGCGGGGCTCGAACTCACGAACCACAAGGTCCATGACCTGCGGCAAACGCTCAACCGACTGAACCACCCAGGTGCCCCCAACGTCCGACCTTTGATGTTGGCTCGGGTCATGATCCCAGGGTTGTGGGCTCGAGCCCTGCATTGGGCTCTGTGCTGAGCGGGGAGCCTGCTTGTTATTCTCTCTCTCTCTCTCTCTCTCTCTCTGCCCCTCCACCTTTCTGTCTCTTATTTCTGTCACTCAGAATAAATAAATAAACATCAAAAAATAAATGTTTATTGAACACCCACTATGTTCAACGGAATGAAGAATACTAGGGATAGAACATCAACACCAAGGGAGGGGAAGAGGTTTGCACCAAATGAATACAACTTCCATAGGGATCAGGCAGAACAGGGGCTGGAAGTGATGAAGATAATTAGGGGAAAGACAGAGTAATTCCCTTCACTTTCGCTTGGAAAAACCTTTTAAAATTTATTTAATAGCAGCTGTCCCCGTGGGGAGGAAAAACAGAACTCTGAGGCTGATACCAGTTAGGGTCATGATTGTATGGTGGGCATTGTTTTAATATTGCCACAGACAAGATGATGGGGAGAAAGAAAAGGAAAAAAATGTCAGTGAAAGTGAAATGTAATTAAGGCAAAGATGGAGATAATTTTGGAGAAAAAAAACCCCTTTTCTTTGAAAAACAACTTGATTGCTTTTGTAAAAATAAAAGCTATTCATTATAAAAGTTAAACAAAAAATACAAGGAAATTGTCAATTCCAGCCCAGAGATAATCATTGCTTTTATTTTATTTTATTTTTTTATTTTATTTTGGAGAAAAAGTGTGAGCTGAGGAGAGGGGCAGAGAGAGAGAGAGAGAGAGAGAGAGAGAGAGAGAGAGAATCTTATGCAGGCTCCATGCAGAGCCTGGCTCGGGACTCTATCCCACGACCCTGGGATCATGACCTGAGCCAACATCAAGAGTTGGACGCTTAACTGCCTGAGGCACCCCACCCCCACTGTTTGAATTTTGATGAACATTATTACTTTGGACATGTATTCATACGTAGATTGTTGTGGATTTATAGTTTTCCATAAGTGGATTGTATGATACATATTATTCTATTATTCTGTAATCATTTCCCCCTCAACAGTATCTTGGTTGGTAGAAATGTTCCTGAGGAGATGTTGTCTGAAGACTATGGACCAATATTTTGACCTCTCTTGATTTTGGAGGCTCTATTAGAAACAGGTATGAACCGCCTCACCCAGGCTTCCGAAAGCCAAGAACGCTAAGAGTGTCACATAACAAATGTTGCCTAGAGGGGCAATGATGGCCAGCCTGTTTCTTTATAGAAATGTAAAATGTAGCCATCAACATAAAGTGTAGCAAGGTATGCATGTTTACATTGTTTATAAAGATACAGTTTCTTTTTAAAAAGTGAACACTCCTGGTATATGTGGGGAGGGGGGAATGAACGCTCTTCTAAAGGATCATTTTAGCTCTTTTTTCTGACATTTAACGTATCTTTTCCCATTTATTTCACTTAAAAATTTTTTTAAATGTTTTTATTTTTGAGAGAGAGAGATAAAGACAGCATGAGCATGGAAGGGTCATAGAGAGAGGGAGACACAGAATCTGATGACAGACTCCAGGCTCTGAGCTGGCTGTCAGCACAGAGCCTGACGCAGGGCTCGTACCCAAAAACCGTGAGATCATGACCTGAGCCGAAGTCGGACACTATAACCAACTGAGCCACCCAGGCGCCCCCCTATTTATTTCACTTATTCCACAACTGTTTATTGAGCTGCTGCTAAATCATAGAGATCAAAGATGAGGAAGACAGACAATTCCAGCCATCTGCACCGGGCACAGGGCGGGATACATTCCAGGCCACGAGAGCCGTGATGGGGAAAGCACAAGTGTCGTAGAAGTAGCCACGGGGACAGTCATTGTTATGGGGGGAAGTGAAGTCTGAAGAAGTAGGAATTGGCCACATGAAAAAGGAAGGGGGTTCAAACAGCCTAATGAAGTTTGTCATCTGTCAGTCTGTCAGAGGTGGCTCTGAGGGCTGGAGCACACAGGAGGAAGAGGGAGGAGGGGGGAGGGGATGGCTGGAGGGTGGCAGGCTTAGGGGGCCATACCAAGGAATTTATATTTAGTCTTCATCCTGAAGGGTGATGGGTGGGACTCTTCAGTTCCATTTCCATTAGAAAGGTATATAATTTTATGTTGTGATCATCTGTTTCACCTCACAGCACAGGGGAAAGTGAGGCTCTTGTCATTGTCTTTGACCTTTATTTATTTTTCTTAAAAAAATGTTTATTTTTTTAACATTTTTTAACATGACGGGGAGGGGCAGAGAGAGAGGGATAGAGAGAGAGAATCCCAAGCAGGCTCTGAGCTGTCAGTGCACCAACTATGAGATTGTGACTTGAGCTGAAGTCAAACGTTCGATGCCTAACTCACTGAGACACCCAGGCACCGCCATTGTCTTTGGCCTTTAAAAACAGGCCCCAAACAATACATTTTGGGCTGATTTTTTTACTTACCTTTATATGGATCAAACTAACCATGGAACTACTAAATCATAATTTTACGTTTTACTATGTAGACATTGTCATTGTTAAATTCACTTTGATTTTATTTATCCTACAGATAGATTTATTGGATGTAAAATAAATGTGAATATTTTGTGCCAAGAAGTTTGCATGCCATTAACCTATTACGTAAACTTTTTCCTTTTGTTTAAATGTTTATTTTTGAGGCGGGGGGAGATAGCATGAACAGGGGAGAGGCAGAGAGAGAGGGAGACAGAGGATCCAAAGCAGACTCCACGCTAACAGCAGACAACCTGATGTAGGGCTTAAACCCATGAACTTGGAGATCGTGATCTGGGCCGAAGTCGGATACTTATCAGACTGAGTCACCCAGGCATCCCTTTAATAAACCTTTCTAACCATATATATATTTATCTGCTAAATGGGTAGATGCCAATATAGGCTGCTTGGTAGTTCAATTGGGTTGAAAATTAACCCTTCTCCCCAACATTCACATCCTTCCCTAAACCTCAGAATGTGACCTTATCTGGAAATAAGATTGTTGCAGATACAGTTAATTTACGGGAGGTCATACTGTTGTAGCGCGGACTCTTACTCCAACATGACTGGTGTCCTTACGTGAAGAGAAGAGACACACACACAGAGAACATCATGTGAGGGCACGGAGGTGAGAGGGAAGATGGCCATTGGAGTCATGTACCTACAGCCAAGGTCCCCAAGGATTATGGGTAACCACTGGGAGCTGAGAGGCAGGGAATGCGTTCTTCCTTGAAGCCCACCACAGGGAACCAGCCCTGTCAACACATCGATTTGGGACTTCTAGCTGCCAGGGCTGTAAGAAAATAAATTCCTGTTATTTTCAGCATTTGTTATGGCAACGTTAGGAAATTAACGCAAACTATAAATGTAATCTTGTATTATGAGTAAAGGAGAGGAAACTAAAGAGTGTGTGTGTGTGGGGGGGTGTGTGTTGGGGCTGGGGTAGGGTCTCTAGGAGCTTAAAATACTTGCCAGCAGAACGGTTTTATATCCTTCTTCTAACCAGATGTAGCTGTCTGCTGACCCCTCCGTCCCTGCCCTTCCCCCCACGCCCCAGATGCATTTCTATTAAAACTATGGTCTTGTACACAATGGATGTAAATATTTAATCTTTCTATTTGTATGTTTTCCCATGTTTATTTTTCAGTTGCCTGCCTGCCCTTTTTGTGTTTATCTTGTTAAGCACTGCCAGGCTTAAAATACAGACCCCTAGAGGGCAAGATTCATATCTATATGGAATGTGCTGTAGAACGACTCATGCCTCATACTCTTATGCACAAATTATTTTTGAAGGTGAGTGTTCTGTTTAATTACTTCTCAGTTTCTTCCTTTAATTTTTCTGCCCAACAGGTACATGGTATGCATTACTGAAATAATTCATGTAAGGCAATTAGAATTTTCAAAGCTAAAAACACACTGTAGGCTAATATGAACTAAATTTAAGTAATTGGAATTAGTGACATTAACAAAATTAAAAAAAAAAATCTCTACACCCAACATGGGGCTCGAACTCACAACCCCGGGATTAAGAGTTGCATGCTTGACCCACTGAGCTAGCCATATGCCCTTGAGGTTCTTTTAAAAACCTTTTTTTTACTGAAAAAGGACAAAAAATACCAGCCTATGACTGCACATTTTTTTAATTTTTAATTTTTTAATGTTTATTTTTGAGAGAGAGAGAGAGAGAGAGAGAGAACATGAGTGGGAGAGGGGCAGAGAGAGAGGGAGACACAGAATCTGAAGCAGGCTTCTGGTTCTGAGCTGTAGCACAGAGCCTGATGTGGGGCTGGAACCTACGAACCCTGAGATCATGACCTGAGCTGAAGTCAGATGCTCAACTGACTGAGCCACCCAGGTGCCCCTGACTGCACTTTAAAAAAAAAAGTTTTTTTTTTAAAAAAATTTTTTTTAATGTTTTTATTTATTTCTAGGAGAGAGAGAGAGACAGTGTGAGCAGGGGAGGGTCAGAGAAAGAGGGAGACAGAATCTGAAGCAGCTCCAGGCTCTGAGCTGTCAGCACAGAGCCCGACGCAGGGCTCCAACCCACGAACTGTGAGATCATGACCTGAGCTGAAGTTGGCCACTTAGCCGACGGAACTACCCAGGTGCTCCCTGACTGTACCTTTTAAAAGTATAAGTTTGGGGCGCCTGGGTGGCTCCGTAGGTTAAGCGTCTGACTTTGGCTCAGGTCATGATCTCAGGGTTTTATGAGTTTGAGCCCCACGTCTGGCTCTGTGTTGGCAGCTCAGAGCCCAGAGCTTGCTTCAGATTCTGTCTCCCTCTTTCTCTGACCCTTCTCCACTCATGTTCTTTTTTTTTTTTTTTAAATTTTTAAATGTTTTATTTATTTCTAAGAGAGAGAGAGAGAGACAGCGTGAGCAGGGGAGGGTCAGAGAGAGAGGGAGATACAGACTCTGAAACAGGCTCCAGGCTCTGAGCTGGCAGTCAGCACAGAGCCCGACGCGGGGCTCGAACCGACGAACCGCGAGATCATGACCTTAACCGACTAAGCCACCCAGGTGCCCCTCTCCACTCATGTTCTGTCTCTCTGTCTCTCTCTCGAAAATAAAGAAACTAAAAAAAATTTTTTTAAAAGTTTAACAGTAAAAATATGAACACAAAGATTATAAAGTCTAGAACTGAAGTTTTCAGTGTTCCTTCTACAACTGTAAGAGTTTGTTTCCTAAAAAACCCTGAAGAGTTTAAGACTTTACGGGAAAACAAAAAGACAGAGACCATTACTTAGTAGTGAACCTATGGGAGAGCCTTATAAATATTTTACATTCACTAAAATAAGCAAAAACAGACAAACTCTAAATAAAGACCATATCCATGACATTTATAGGTCTCCAATTAGTAAGAATGGCTACTGTACTTTGAAATTTTATTTACCATCACTTGTTTGCTAGACCCTTTGAGGTTTTTACTTTGCTCCGTTTCCTGAGATGTTGCTTTTTCTTTGGTGTAGAAAACAATCGTCACCCCCCAAACCATATTCTAAATATTTAATACATATTTCTTATTATACTGCATGTGCTCTAAAAGATTCAACTGTTGTAGAAAAATGTAATATAGAAAGTGAAAGTTGCTTGTAATCCACTCCTTCAGAGATGATTGCTGCTAACGCTTTGGTGCATATCGACTGTGTTTTAGAAATGGCTACATGTGTATTTATTAAAAGTAATTTTTTTTCGGCACTTGCAGACACTCTATGTCTTTCTGATTTTATAATTTTGAGTAACTTCAGCTACATGACTCCTGGCTTTTTGCCATTGTGGTCTGAGAGCTCCAAAATTTGGATCAGGGACATGGATGGAAAAACCTTTGGAAAACTTTTATGCTAAGCAGGTATTCTTTGTATCCTTGTTCATCTTGAGTTGTATTTTATTTGCTCTGCCCATGATAACTTTGGGCCGATCAGCCTGCCATCCTTCTAAAACAGATTCACAACAGCTGAAGGAATAGAGATGTAAGGCTGGGGTTAAGAGCCTTCATCTTTTCTTTCTAGAAGCATTCCTGCACAAACCTCTACTTCTTACCTTTTCATTCATTCTACCCACTTTTCTGTTCTCAGAACCTAGTTGCTTCCTTTGAAGACTTCTCTCCAGCAGGAGTGACTTGCAATTTGCAGTGACACTTAAATCCTCCTGAGTGCTGAAGACGTATACTGAAATAAATTATACTGAAATAATATATACTTTTGTGCGTATAAAACAGTCGGAAATGACTGCTCTAATTTCCGTAATGAACGCGGGTGAGCATTTGGATCAAAAATCCAATCTTTGACAGTGTGCTTTATTGAAAGTGTAACATGCAGGGAAAAATGCAAAGGAAAGAATGAGCAGGGAAAAAAACTTTAAATATACCACTTCGTAAATTTACCATTCGGCATATACGTGTTGTGTTTCTATTTATAATAGTCAGATCTTTTAATTTATAGTTTGCCTTTACCAAGTCAGCTTCTCCCCAATCTCAAAATTCCCCTGGCTGTAAATTTAGTAAACTTGAACCAGCCAGCAAGGATTAAACCCTGCAGGAATCCAAATGACTATCTTATTATAGTCCTCATTTCAGCCATTTCAAAAAACAGAAAAACAAAAAACAACACAAAACCGCTTGCAGTTAGCACAGGCTCTGGAAGTCAAACTGTGTGTATACTTTGCCCAATAGGAAGCACAATTCAAAGTTTGTGCTCCGGCCATCGGGAGAAATGGAAGGCGAAGGCGAGCTTCCAGCGCGTCGCGAAGACGGGGCGAGTCCTGAGGAGCAGGGCCGAGCGCGGCCGGCCTGGGGGGCGGCCTGGAGGGGGCGGCCTGGGGTCAGGCTCGCCCGCCCGCTGACGCCCGAGGGCCCCGAGGTCTCCCCCACTTCCCGAGCGCCGGCCGGCAGTGAACGCGAAGGCAGGCGCGGAGGAGCGGCCGCCGCATCCGAATCAGGGTCCAGGAGTCCCCAGGTGTCGCTCGTGCCCGTTCCGAATTCTCGCCCCCTTGGCTCCGGAACGCGTCGCTTCCCGCGCACCGCAACACGCTGCAGGCGGACAATCACGTAGTTGGGTTTTATTGGTGTGCTGTTGTGCCTTCCTGCGCGTCCGTCCCTCAAAATGTCACCGTTCTTTCTGTCTGACAGCCCGGGAAGCCCTCCCCGGCCCAGGTCTTACATGACGGTATAATCACGAAACTCTGCCTGGAACCGGGACGCAGCGAAGTTGCGCCGCCGGCCCGGCCCGCGGGAGCCGGTGCGGCGCGGGCGGGCTCCGTCCCTGCGGCCGCGGGGCGGGCGGGCGGGCGGGCGGCGCGCAGGGGGCCGCGCGGGCTTAGCGGCCGCCGTCGGAGCGTCGCCTCGGGCCGCGCGTTCCCTGGACCCCGATCCCGGACCGCCGCCTCCGCAGCTTGGCGCTCTCCCCGAGCCGGAGCCGGAGCCGGAGTCGCGGCGCAGCCCCGGCCGCCGCGTCAGAGGAGGCGGAGGGGGGCTGGGGGGGGGGCGGGGAGGAGGAGGAGGAGGAGGAGGAGGAGGAGGAGGAGGAGGAGGGAGGAGGGAGGAGGGAGGAGAGCCGGGGAGGAGGGGGACGGGGGAGGGGCGGTGAGGTCAGCGGCGGCGGCGCGTCCGCCGGCGGCGCATGCGCGGAGCGAGCCCTGTGAGTGGCAGCGGCGGCGCGCGGGGCGGTGGGGCCGAGGAGTGGGGGAGGGGGCGGGGGCGTCGCGGCGGCCGTGTGTGGGCGAGACGGCGGCGAGTTTGAGAGGTCTGTGGTGCTGGGCGCCCGGGGGAGACCCGGCGCGGCCCTCGCGCGACGGCCACGGTCGTGTGTGTGTGTCTGTGTGTGGTACACGCACACCCGCAAAACTTCCTCCTCCCCGGCCCGGGAGGGCGGGCGCGGGCGCTGAGGGGCCGGCGCTCGCGCAGCCCGGAACCCACAACAACAACTGGAGCAGCTGTCAAAACTTCGCCGCCGCCGCCCGGCCTGACGCGGCCCGCGCGGGGGAGGGGCGGCCGGCGGAGCCGCGACCCCCGCCCGCCCGCCGCTCCCCGCGGGCCCGCCGTCCCCCGCGCCGCGGCCCCTTTCTCCTCCCGCCGCGGGCGCTGGGGGAGGGGCGCGGGCGCAGCCCCGGCCGGCGCCCCCCGCGCCCCCTCAGTCGCCCCGCCCCGCACCCGCCCGCCCGCCCGCACCGCCCGGCCCCCGCCCGCGCCCCGCCCGCCGCTGCCGCCGCCGCCCGCACCTCCCGCCCGGCCGGCCGGCCCCTCCCTCCCTCCCGCCCGCGCCCCGCCCGCCGCTGCCGCCGCCGCCCGCACCTCCCGCCCGGCCGGCCGGCCCCTCCCTCCCTCCCGCCCGCGCCCCGCCCGCCGCCCGTCGCCCCCCGCCCCCCGCCCGGCCCCTGCGCGCCGAGGTGCGCGCGCCCGCGCGTATGTGTGTGAGTGCGTGTCCTGCTCGCTCCATGTTGCCGCCTCTCCCGGTACCTGCTGCTGCTCCCGGGGCTGCTGGAAATGCGAGAGGCTGAGCCGGGGAGGAGGAACCCGAGCAGCAGCGGCGGCGGCGGCCGCGGCGGCGGCGGCGGGAGGAGCCCCCCAGGAGGAGGACCGGGATCCATGTGTCTTTCCTGGTGACTAGGATGTCGTCGGAGGAGGACAAGAGCGCGGAGCAGCCGCAGCCGCCGCCACCACCCCCCGAGGAGCCCGGAGCCCCGGCCCCGAGCCCCGCAGCCGCAGACAAAAGACCTCGGGGCCGGCCTCGCAAAGATGGCGCTTCCCCTTTCCAGAGAGCCAGAAAGAAGTAAGTTGAGTGTGAGAGAGCCAGGCCGGGAGCCAGCCGCGGCGCCGGGCCGGAGCTGTCACCGGCGCGCCCGGCCCCCCTGCCCCCGCGCGCCCCCGGCCGCCCCCGCGGGGTGGGGGTGGGGCCCGCCCGCCGCGCGGCTCCCGGCCCCCCGGGCGCCCGCCCGCCCCGCGCCCCGCGCCCCCTCGGCGGCCGCCGGCCCGGGCCTCCCGCGGGCGCCCCGCACCGCACTCCGCCCAGCGGGGCCCCGACGGCTCGCGCCGCCGCCGCCGCACTTTACTTTGGAGTTTGGCCCTCGCGCCGGCTGTTCGCGGGGTTGCTCTTTCTGGAGAAATTTCTCGTAGATTCTTCTCGGCCTCGCCGGGTCTTCGGACCGACACACGGCGAGGCGCACGCAGGTCGTCCGCGCCCCGGCGCCTTGTCAACTACAAAGCGGTCCCGCCGCGGGACACTCGCGGAGCTGTCAAAACGCCGCGGCCAGGTGGTCTCGCCGCCCGCCCCGGGGGGGGGGGCAGGAGGGGGGGACGGGGGCGCGGGGGGAGCCGCCGGCCTTTGTCAGCCGGCCGCCCCCGGAACTTTTGTGGCTCCCGGAGCCGGGTTTTCGGCCCCGAACGATCTATTAGGAAGTCGGGGGACTTCTTCCTCTCCCCTCCCCCACCCCGACCCGCACGGCCGCAGGCGCGGCGGCCGCGAGTTGTGCGAGCGCAGCCGGGCCGGGCGCTCGGGCCCGAGGCCGGGGGGCACGCTTACTCGGCGGGGGCCCGCGCCGGGCCGGGGCCCGACTGCCCCCCGCGCCCCCTGCGGGGCCAGGGCCGGCTGTCGCTGGTCGCGGGGCGAGCCGGCATCCCCGAGACGCGGCCTTCCACAGAATGGTTCTTCGGCAACTTTCGCCTGGAGATGAGGAAAAAGCCGTTTCGGTGGCAGCGGGTCGGCCGGCGGCCCCCGAGGGCGCAGGACCGGCGGCGGCCGTCCCGAGTTGGGGGCTGGCGAGGAGTGCTTACTCACGTCGCCGGAGCACCGGGGCGCGGAGCCGTGGGTCGGGGAGGGGCGCGCCGGGGCCGCCGGGCGCTCGGGCGGCGTTGTTGCTCGGGCGCGTTCGCCGGGTCGTAGTGGTGGCACGTTCGGTGAGCGGCGGTGTAGACGCCGGTGTGCGGCGGGGCCGCGCGGTGCGAGGGCCCTGACGCCCGGCTGGGCCCCCTCCTCCTCCTCGCGCGGCGGTGCTCACCGCGAGGGTTCAGGCCCTGTGGCCTGCCTCCATATTTTATTCGCAGCCCTCACCTAGCTGTGACACAGCCGAGAGACGCCGGGACGGGATACTTACGTGGTGGCCTTAGCCGCTTTGTGGCACAAAGTTGGGGTTTGTTGTGCCACCGGCATTGCCGTGAAATGTCTGGTGGGAGATGCCAGGGTCGCTCCCCGTGGACCGGAATTTGGAGAGGGAAGATGGACTTGCAAGCAACTTTGTACTTTGTCGCTTTTTTGTATCCGTTCAAGCAACGCGTGTGAAGGCGTGTTAGGGTTTCAGCTTAGTAACTTCCCATTTCCACTGCTGCTTGTTTTCTTTCCGAATATCGAGTTGGGATCCTTGTATGGTTTCCATTTGCTCTTAATTCCTCTTCCAGGGGCAACAGAGCTAGCTGTGCTGTCATGCCCCTCACCCCTGCACATGCGAGCGTGTGCACGGGCGCGCACACACAAACACACGTGCACACGCAGTTCCCCGACGTGGAAATGAGTTCATTTGTGTTAAGGCAGCCGCTGTGTGCACCGGAAGAAAGGTTGGTTTAGGGTTTTGCCACTTTGTTATTTTAATTTGTATCTCATTTAAAAAAATCTCATGCTATGAATAATAATAATAAAAAAAGGTGGCCCTTGGAGAAATTTAAAAATTTCTACAGAATGATGCTAATGTACCAGGATAAAAACATGAGCACTTTAGAAAACGTTTAATACAATTCTGAGTCTTGAGAGAGTTTTAGTTTTTTCTGTTGGTTGAAAACTGGGGCAGCATTCCTCATGTGAAATTTAGTGGTAACTTTGATGGTTCCAAACTTTTTAGTGAATTTTGAAAAACTAGGTGTGTTTTTTGAAGGGAATGGAATCTCCAGCTGTTTGAGAAACCTGTAAGTGGAGACTGTGGTGTGAACTGGAAAGCGCAGAGAAAGGTTTTCGGTTGTGAATCTCTGGATAGTATTTGGATGCATGCGGAAAAGATCCTGCAGTTACTTGGGTGCTGAAGATCCTGAAAGTGAAACTGCAGTGTGACACATGTAAGTGAGGTTTGTAAAGGCCAAAATTACTTGGAATCACAAATAATTATCTAAGAAATGAAAATTTTTGAGGGAGGGGAGTGCAAAGGAGATAAAAGTTTTTAAATTGTCTATGTTATCTGAATATATGGTCAGTAAGTGGATTTTCTGCTAGAGAAGATGCCTTATGACACTATTTTTTAAAACACTTGCGTATTTGTTTTTGGATTAAAAAAAGGGTGACCATGCACTGCTAATTATAATTTGAGTTTGTTTTTGAATTTTTAATAATTAGATAAGTAAACTTAAGCATTTTCTTGTTTTATATTGTTAGATGAGTTTTGCTTTATCACATTTAAAAAGCAGAGGCTATGTAGTGACTAGTTTTAATTAACCATTGTTATCTTGAAATTATTTACTAAAATCAAGAGTTTTGAACTGAAGCTATTGATCTTAGGGGCAGAGTTTGAAAAGCAGATATATAAATAAGGATTTCCTGTTGAAGGCATGTGAAGTGGAACAGTGAAATTAACATTTGCTTGAGAGATCTCCTTAGCAGTAAGGATTGTTTAATGGGTTATTTGGAAGAGCGTATAATCTTTATTGGAGGGACAGGTCTTTCCATTGATGGAGAAGCTCCTGCCACAGAGTAGGCACATTACTAGAGGTCTAATTGTTTTTCCATAAATACTTAGGAAACTCTACCCAAAGATTTGATTTCATTTTTTCTTCTTTGGAATATATGTTGGCTTTTCTAAATTGGGGAAGACAAGGACTCATTCTACCACACATATATATATATATATACACACATGTATATGTATATATATGTGTGTATATATATATATATATACATGTGTGTATATATATATTATGCAGTCAACAAATTTAATGTTAGGGGTGGGTGTGGGGTGGTGCAGAAGCAGGTGGTGGGGATAGGATTTCTGAGGCACTATCCTTGACCCTTTTTGAAAAAACTCTTTATATTCTGAACTACTTTCTTTTCAGAGGGCAATTACTGTGATTAGAAAGCCACCTTGAGCCAAATTGTTGTAGAAAGTTGGGCACAACCAGTGATGCCATACAAGGGACAAAAAAAAAAAAAAGACTGCTGCAGATGACTGTTGCTATTTCATATTTGAGAGGCCCCTCCCCCAACATTTCTCATTTCCATAGCTGTGAACTTGAAATAATAAAAAAAGGTGTAGTGCCTTGTAGTATATGCAGTTTCATACAACGATATGTAGTCGAAAGATACCACTGTCACTTTTCATGCTTCTTGAGATCATGCAGATTTGTCATTAATATGATGGTAATTCTTTTTCTTATTTTTCAAGCAATTAGATACATGGAAATTTTGGCAATTACTAGCTTCTGGCACTTTGTAGTCATCGAAATGTTTTAATGTACTTGCAAAGCTGGTCCAGGATTGGCAGCCTCTCACCTGTTAGGCGGCTCTTCTCCAGCCTGACCTCATTGTACTTCGCTCTTGGCCCGTTGGTCTTGATCATGGAATCACTAGTGTCTGAGAGCATGTTATTAGTTTGATACACAATTTTATGTTCAGTAGGTTGGTTATTAATATGTCAGCTTAATAATCATGGATTTCCATGTAAACTTAAAGGATCACGATAGTTTATTTTCCCGTTCTGAAAGTAGTGATTTAATACATTTTCTTACTTGTCTCAGTGAATTCTGCGCTGCCAGATTTGTGGTCACTTTGCAGGGGGACAAGACACACTGCTCTGTCCTTCTCCTCTCCCCCACCTTTGTGCAAAACTTCATGGTATTCCCCAGGCTGCAATCAGATATCCTTTGGGCAGTTAGTGACTGTCCAGCCATGTATCCTTAAGCCACTTGCAGATATGACCAAGGAGTTTCATGAAATCTCATTTCCAAAATGCAAATGGTCGGTTCTTAGTTACAGGTAATTAAAGAACATTTTTAAGTGTTTTTTAAAAATGTTTTTTAATTAACTTATTATTTTAATATAACTTATTGTCAGATTGCTTATATACATCACCCAGTGCTCATTCCAATAAGTACCCTTCTCAATGCCCATCACCCATTTTCCCCTCTCTCCCACCACCCTTTTTTTAAAAGATTTATTTTTGAGAGAGAGACACACACACAGAGCATGAGTGGGGGAGGGGCAGAGAGAGAGGGAGACACAGAATCTGAAGCGGGCTCCAGGCTCTCAGCTGTGAGCACAGAGCCCAACATGGGGCTTGATCTCGTAAAAGATGAGATCATGACCTGAGCCAAAGTCGGCGCTTAACGGACTGAGCCACCCAGGTGCTCCAGTTATAGATAATATTAGATGCTTTCCGTGCTTTTCCCTGGTGGGGAGGTGTGAGATACCTTGGGTAAGATTTGATAACAGCTTTTAATCCATGAGATGTTTGGATTGACCATAATTTTTAGCTGGTATAGAATGAATTTACTAGTCTGTGTATGTGTATATTTCTCTTTTATTCTTTATTATGTTGGCCGTCTTTTAATTTCAATAAGCTGATTAATCTTTCTCTTCTTTTTAAAAATTGTCTTTATCATGTTTGTGCCACAGTGTCTATTTTCAGAACTTCTTGGCAGTATGAATTACAAAAGTTAAGGAGTGAAATAGGAACGATTTCTCTGTCTCTTTTGTGATGGCCTGCATATAAACATATGCTTGTGGTTAGTGTGAAGAATTAGTGCAAAGACTTATACTGAATTTATAATGTCCATCTCTCTATTTGCAGAATTTGAAAG